GCAGAAGGGAGAGGGGCGTGGCGCGCAGGTGGCGCGGGGAGGGGTGCGGAGGGGTTGCAGCAGCCCCCTAGGGATAGCTGGGGGCGGGGGGCTAGATCCCGGGGCGTCAGAGCGAGCGCCGAAGCGGCGCTGTGTTGCTGGCTGTTGCCGAGAGGTGCACCCTGGCCAGATCCACAGCAGGCCGGCGCACTGAATCGGAGCCGATCCACACTCCCCACTGCCCATCGCCCTCGACCGCCCGCCCCTCGCTCCGCCTGGTCCACGAACCAGCTACAATGCGCCCCCTTCCCTCCAGGGGCTGGTGATCAAAGCTGCCCCCCCCCTCCCGCCTGCCTCTCCTGCGCTTCCTATTCTCCATTCATCTCCCACCCCTGACCTTAACAAAGTCCTCAATGTCGGCCTGACTAATCCCCTTGAACAGGAACACGGCGCCATCAGGGGGCGACCCTGTGGCGCCCGCGCACACCAGCTTCCCGGCATCCACCTGCGGCCGGGGTCATGCGGGGCGCGAGATCAGGATCCACACGGGGCATCCCAGAGGCCGTGGGAGTGGGGCCGACGGCCGAGGTGCGGCATGCAAAGGGTGCCACGAGAAGGTGCCTTCGAGCCCGCCACGCTTCACCGGCCTTTGCCGCTACGGCCTCGATTGCGTTGCGCCTGCTGCCGTCGCGGGCCCAGGCAGCCGTCGAGAGGGCGCGCCACCCGCACCGGCGCCGCTGTGGCCGCGAGCGCACCTTGGCCTGGGCGCCCGCCAGGTGGGCCTCGCGGTGTGGCCCGCGGCGGTCCAGGATGTCTGAGACGTAGTCGTACCGCAGGATCCAGAACTGGGGCGCCGGCGCGGCGCCGGTGGCCGCCTTGGCCGCGGAGGTTTTTGGGGGAGGGGGGGAGGCGCGCCGCGCGCAAGTTCAACTGCACGTGACGAGGCGGCTGCAGAATGGTGGAAACAGGCATTGATAAAAGCCTCTTGTGGCGGCATGGGGCCTGGTGGAGATGGCCATTGGAGCTGCAGGCACGGAGCAGCAGCATCAATTGCGGCGCACTCAACGGCACGCGCGCACCATGCGAACGACCGTTGACGGGCGCCTGGCCAGGCTCCTGTAAGCTTGCGCTCTCAGCGACAGCGAACTGGTTGCGCGCAGAGCGTGCATTCCCTAAAGATCACTGCGTTGATCTGGGATGTTTCCGGCAATCGGGACAGGACCGGTGCTGGTAGCGTTGTGAACAATTTATTCACGGCCGGCAGTGTGCAATATGGTACAGTACGGCTGTCAACGGCCAAGTGGACCCCATGATGACGGCAGGGCGCGCCAGACAGGACGCCATGCAATTGCATTAGTGCCTGACGCCTGAGCCGAATTCCGCATGTCACAGCGCCTGCGCCCTGCATGCGCCCAAGATCAGCCCAACTTCGCGCTCATAGCAGCTGCCAGCACACATACGGTTACGCGGGCTGGTTGCGTGCTGCAGCCACGCAAAGCTGCATCAGCTCACAGCTGGAGCAGAAGAAGTTTCAAAGCGCTTGAGGCCATGATGTGTCACATGTGACCGGGCGTGTGCTCTTTGAGAGACGAAAGTTGTCTTACAACTCATATCGTATGCACATAGCTGCAACATAATCCCAATGCAACGCGCTGGCCGCCAGCTCGGCGGCCTGCGCCACACACCTACACCACACAGCATAACCCAATGCAGCCAGAGTATTAGGCAGACTCCAGACCCAACACAGCCTGAGCGGCACATTTGCCAGCTGAGCGATGCAACTGAGCCCCTAGCATCATCACCGACTGTACATGATAAAGCGAGAGAAACGCAGAGGCTGTCTCTCCCTATATGTGGTCAACTGCGCGAGCAGACTCCCAAACCAATCTTGACTGAGGTCAAACAAATCTACGAGGTCTTGCAGGGGCACTCCCCCTCTTCGCCTCTGCCGTGCCCCTCCTACACACCCTCGGCGCGCCACGCCTGCCGCAGCCGCCGCGCCCCCGGCCTGCCGCTGCGAGCCGCGGGCCTCGCGGCCCCCGCTTATCCGAGCCGAACATAGACACTCGTGGACGGCAGGACCGCCCGCAGGAATGCCTGCGGGCCGCTCGGCTCCCGCGCCAGGTGCGGCGCCGCCAGCGCCGCGGCAGCCTGCAGCTCGGCGGCCGCGAGCGCCGCCGCGGCGCCGGCGCCGGCGCCGGCGACGGCGTCGTCCAACTCCATGCCCGCCGGCCCCAGCCCGTCCTCGTCCTCCTGGAC